CGAAATAGAAAACATTTTTTGTATGCACTTATCTGAATAACTTATTCAGGCTAATGGAAGACATCCTTTATAACAGTATTATTTCTTTCCTTTTAAAGGATAAAGGTAACTTGTAAGCTTGTACGTTCGTTCGTTTCTTCGTACATACAGATGTTCACATTATTTTAATCGAATAACAAATATAGATTTATTGCATAGTTGGCATCGCTGTTGAGGATGCGATGTCACCAGCATCTCCAGATCTCCACAGTTGCGTTATCGTTTTCACTTGCGTGTGGAAGTTTATGCCCTGGAAAAGTATCACATGTTTAGAAAACGTGAAAAATGTAAAATTTAAAGTTTCAAACAGTAATCACAAAAGAATTTAGAAAATTATTGTGCAACACCAACTGACATGGAAATTATTAATACCAATAAAGAAAATGTTCAATTTTATATCAAATGTGATTCTAAAATTACTTATTGCCAAAAACTTATTATACTTATTATAAAATATATGTTATTTACGAGATTCGACAAGAAACATGTAAATTTTCCTGTAGAAATTTATCACTTTACTTACATGTTTTCCGTAGAAATGACTATCACCCAAGAAGGATCCCTTGTTTCCCGTAAAACTAAACATTGGTAGTGGTACCGGAATAGGAACATTTACGCCAACCTGACCAGCTTCGATTCTGTTTATAAATGCTCTTGCTGTAGCACCATTTGTAGTGAATACAGCAGTTCCGTTTCCATAAGGATTTCTGTTAATAATGTCGATTGCTTCGTCCAATGTGTCCGCGTAAACACACGAAAGAACTGGCCCAAAGATTTCCTCTGTGTAACATTGCATTGACGGCTAAAACATAATATAAAAGATTTCTCATTTTACATAAATTTGATTTAAATTAATATGAGAACCGTGAAATGAATTATTAACACTTCATAATAAACGTATGAGTTCAATAAAAAAAAAAAAATAATAGAAAGTTCAAATAATATGATAATGAAATTATTAATCGTTGTAGAAATGAATGTTTCATAATTGAAACTATACACTTTTTCTATTCAAATTTCGAGCAAGATAAGACTTGAATTTTTTACAATACACGTTAAATTTACAGTATAATACAAGTTGAAAACCTCTGTATAATAATATAAAGTTATAATGAGGTTAAAGAAAATTACATTTATTTAAAACATCGTTGACATGGATAGTGAACTGGATATTTCAAAGATTCTAAAGTCAGAAACAAATTGCTTAACCCTTTCGCGACGACGGAACTAGCCATCAGTACGCCACTAACGAACGGGTCGTCGTGCCAGTACTACACACCATACACATTAAGAGTGTCTCGCGTTTTTGGAGCTCCCAGTGTGTCCGTGTAAAATCTTAGAGGATTTCGTTGGAACAGCAGAGAACTTAAGGGTGTATCGGATGAAGGGAATGTTGTTGAGGCCTTGTTCTGTATTTTAAAATAATTCTTCACTTTGAGTTGTCGAGGCGCGAGCCAATGCGACGCGCTTAGTGGATGCCGGATATAACCGGCGCTAGTAGCCAGTGTGAAGCATTTAGTGGGTGCCGGATATAACCGGCGCTAGCCAGTGTGAAGCATTTAGTGGATGCCGGATATAACCGGCGCTAGTCGCGAAAGGGTTAAAAAATGACCTAAACATTGAGAATTTGCTACCGGAAATTTTCTTTCACCTTCTCTTTCAGCTACGTTAATCAGTCGTACTCTGTAATGCATTAAAGTAACTGTTATTCATATGCAAATAAAGCGTAATATAAATTTAACATGTACGTATGTACCTTGACGTTCGTGAGTACAGTTGGCCCAACGAAATTTCCTTTCTCAAAGCCTTGCACAACGAGTCCTCTACCATCGAGAGCCAACGTGGCGCCTTCTTTCACCCCAGATTCGATCAGATCGCATATCCTCTGTTTCGACTGGGGCGATATAACTGGTCCAAGGTCGGTGTCAGGTACGTGTCCAGCGTTCACCTTCAATCTCTTCGCAGCCTCTACTAATTCTGGTACCCAGTCCTTCGATTTACCCACGAATATGGCAACCGAAAGGGCCATGCATCTTTGGCCCGCAGCTCCAAAACTAGCGCCCACGATTTGAGAAAGAGTTTTGTTTCTATTCGCATCCGGCAACACGACGCAATGATTCTTCGCTCCCATATTGCACTGTACGCGTTTTCCGTGCATGCTACTCTGTTTGTAGATGTATTTTCCCTGTAAAGGAAAAAAATTGTACGGTTAACACTATTGATAGCCTGAAAATAACTCAAAAAGCGGAATGCGCCAGGAATTTTTGAACGTCTTCGACAGTCTTTGAAACGTCGATGCGAAGCATGTGTTGTTGCAGAAGAAAATAATTTTCAGCAATTTGCTTAATTAAGTTTTAAACATTCCTACAATACTCCAGCGTAATGGAAAAGTGTCTATATCTCGGAAAAGAAGAGTTTTCGGACCTATATTTATAATAATATGATCTTTCATCCTAAAGAACAGTCGAATACGGTGTTACGTCCGTAACCTCCAAGCCTAGCGAACCTCTCTTGTCTTCGGGGAAACCATAGAAATCCTACAACGATCACACACTCTGTATTCACCAAAATTTCTTCGAGCAGTTACAGCGAAAAGCTACTCAAGGGTAGTGCAATAAATCAGTTAAGAACCGGGCGCGTCACTCGAGACTATGCGAGGCACCGAGAGCCCGACGCTCGAGGATGCCCGTGGGTCGGAGTGCCACGCGTCTGGTTCATGTCTTCGACATCCTTCGATGCCCCAAAAAAGGGGCAATTGTCTAAACTTGGGTAGGCTCGCTGTACTGTCCGGAAAATTCCCAAACTATCTATCCTGAATTAAATCCTGCGGTAGTCACTGTCGCCGCCCCTATCCCAGGTAAACTCCTTGAATGGACTGACCGAAACCGGGGGCCCTGAGGTACGAAAGGTGCGTAACAACGGTACCAAAGTTTGGCCACCTATTTTCTTGTCATCCTGTATTCTTCCCTTACTATGTGCTATTTGAGATTTCAGCTTTCAGTTCCGACACATTGTTGACCACAGTCATTCATTTTCATACACTCATCTTAACACGAAATTATTTATGATTGGTCCAACAATGAGCTGGTACTCAGCTGTGATGAGATGCAAGAAAACATGCATGGCAATAACACGATGATTCAATTTGCATCGCGTGAATTTAGTACATGATTTACATAGTGAAGATTTGAGCAATAGAATAAACAAGGATTAGGAAGATTCATGACTTTTTTATTTAAGCGATGAAGCAATAGATTTGCAATAGGAAAGAACATCTACAATCTGAATATCGAAATCTCAAGTATCCTATAAATGAAGTACGGAAAGTAACAGCGAACATAATTCTTGTTTGTTAATAACTTGCCCCTTTTTGTAATTCTAGATTGCTTCTAGGTCGCTTGAAAATAGTGCAGAAGAAAAGAAATTCTTTTCTTTTACGATAACGTATTCTGCATAGGCAACAGCAAAGAATATCTCAAATTTTTCTCCTACGAGACAAATTTCAAGATAGCTAGTACACTAAATGCAGGCTGAATCACGAGAAATAGAACACTTAAATATGAGCCAGGTAGATGCCAAAATGATTAACTCCACTTTTTGAAATTCTTCCAATTTTTGTAACGAAGCACATGCTTGATGCTCATCATAAATAAAAAAATTTGATAGAGTTAGTCGCTTTGGCTCATATATCACTTAGATTTGAACATAGGAGTAAATGTCAAACGAAAGAGTTGTGTAGTTCAAGGGGGCACATGTGATGGTAAAAACAAATTCTGTTCGGTTGCTTTCAGCGAAATGGATGCAAAAGTAAGGTAACTATTTTCTGTATTTATTAAGTTCAATTCAACAATTTGAAAATTTATCGTTAATTGAAGTATTTATAAGTCTTTATCGCTTGATCCTAAATTCTGGAGTGCAAATGTTGAGTGTTGGCCATAATGCTATCAAGTCGGAAATATACGGTGCCACTGAAAAAGGATACTGGTGACATTCAACTAACCTTAAAGGTAATGCCAAAACAATCTGCTTTTACCATTACATTTGCCTCCTTGAACTATACAACTCTTCTGTTTGACATTTTCTCTCATGTATAATACAAACCTACATGTGCACATATTTCGATGTTCTATTTCTCGTGATTCACCTTTACAATCATTATATGGGCAAGTTTGTGTCGACATTGTTTAATAGTGTCATAAATTAAAACCTTACACGTTGATCTTTTCTGAATCGTATTCCATATGATATAAAATTAAAAAAATATTTACAATATAGTACTACAATAAAATAAGGAATTGAACGGAAACATTAAAAATTCGGATAATTTTTCCGAGTCAGGCTCGACATAGGAATTTTTGCGTTCAGATAGCATACAATGATAAATTACAAGCGATAATAAACCATTTTTTATGCATTCATATTATACTGAAACTTAATATTTTATAATTGTATTTACTGTAGCTTTTAGTGGATAAGATGACATAACATGTTTAATATGATTCCCATTTTGTAGAATTCATTTTTCTTGTGCTTTATGCTAATATTTCAAGAGGTATTTCGGATATTTTTCTGTTTCTTTTTAACCAAGATTTTAGACCAAGTCTAATTTTTTTGCCGTTTTAACCTTTCCAAAAATCTGAAAAAATTCTGGAGTACCTATCAAAGCCTCTGTTACACCATACAATTGCTCGTTAAGTCAAATGTTTCAAACTTTTTTCAATAAAACTATAAATTCCTTTTGAAGAAATACGGGAGTGAAATTTGGCTTGGGTCATCGATGACCCAGGTTACCAACAGAGGGTTATTTCCTTCATTTTTGAACGACCTTGAACATTATTGTGTCGCAGGTCGTTGAACTCGTTTCAACAGCCTCCTTCATACAATACACTACTCAAAACTGTGAAAGGTTCTATTACGCCATATAACAATACGTAAAAGGAAGGGAAGAAGTGCTGTAGGCTTCATAGATTGACATATTATTCATGCTATGCTACGAAAAATATTGGCACTTGAAACAATTATTAAACAAAAATGAGAAAAAAGAAAATAGTTTAGGTATGCGTGGAACTATAATATTCTAATATTACAGATTTTTGATTTTATGAAGTTACACAGTGACTTTTTGTTTACAGAAACATGTGCTTCTAACACCATGCTTTATTTTCACAAAAAAAAATTTACAAAAATTATATGCCGTGTTGACAGGACCAATGACTGCGATACATGATCCTCCAATTGTTTCAAGCAGCGTATAAAAACAATTATAACTATTATTACATAAAAACCATTTCAAATTTTACAAAATCTGTTCAAGCCGTCACATTGCCTAATAAAAAATAACGAAACTTTGTCCTCTTCTATTTTTCTCACAAATCTATCACTTGCGAGAAAAACGCCGGGAACTAATAGCGTGAACAGTCTGTACCGGGAGTCCGGAACGAAAACTTTGTTCACAGCAAAGCAAAGAGAACCTTTTCAACTTTTATACAGCGGCAAACACCTGACGGGAAATTGAATACCGTCTCTAGACGTTTGTCGCGCTATAAGAGACGTGCACATAGAGAATGATTGATTGAAGATTTATTGATGTCCACAAAAACTTCTTGAGTTCCTCTGTATGTTACCATAAACAGCATTTTAATAAATACAGTCTCGCAGACTGTTGAAGATATGCAAAAATTGTTTGATATGGAAGGAGATTTTGTGTGGTACAGATAGGTTTTTTCGTGTACGAACTGGTAGAGGAGATTTCAGAGTCAACTTAATTGTTTTAAATAGGATACTATACATCTTTGTTCATAATATGATAGCATTTGTTAAGACGAGTACAACGGTGTGCCGCATGAGGATATTCAATGTATATACACTCTGTCCAATTTAAGAATAACCTCGCTCTCGGACCAATTTTCGTCCGTTCTGCGCATAGACAGAGAGGGTAAGACGGAGAAAAACGTAAGTAAGTGGGGGGTTTGGACGTTCTAGCCCTGCCTTAGGCACGTCCCATGCGCGAAGCGAGGTTATTCTTAAATTGGACAGAGTATAGTAGGTCATAAATTAGCGATGTAATCGTGCTATGAACTCGAGTTAGACCACTCAGTATCTGCTAAACTCGGGTGCTGTTTTCGGGCTGCTGTGTTTACGACCTTCTACTGCACATAATTACCTTATGCGGCACACCGTTGTACTCGTCCTAACAAACGCTATCATATTATGAATAAAGATGTACAGTGTTCCATTAAAAAAAATTAAGTTGATTTTGAAATCTCCTCTATCACTTCATATACAAAAAAACTATTTACACCATACAATGTCCCTCTCCATATCAAACAACTTTTTCACATCTTTAACAGTCTGTTAGATATTCGTGCGTTTCCAGTTAACATGTTCACCGCAGTACGGGGCACATATATAGACCGTGTACATCGGCTTTTCGGTATTCAAGGGTTATCGACCTTTAAAATTGACGATTTTCGGATTAGATGGATCTAGTTCTGAATCACTCGTTTTTCTTTGCCTAATTTTTGGTAAAACTCCTATTTCACGTTCACTTGTTAGTAAATGGAGAGTGACGTCTCTGTTACGAGCGATATCACACTATTTCCGCGCAATAGCCAAAATCGGCCCGGTACTGGCGACGAATCCGCGCCCAACTGAGTCGGTCGTCAGTGAGTGGCCACTTTAACCATGAGCGGTAGATAAAGTGTTAAGTAGTACCTTCGACCTGAGCGGCTCGTTTTTCATTGAACCTTCGCTACATGCTAATTGTAAGCAGATATTTCCGTTATTCTTCCACCATTTTCGCCGTAATAGGCAGTTATCAATCTTTCGTGTAAAATAACAAAATATAGTGAAAAAATAAGAAATTTGTCTCGTACCGCTAAATAAGAAAGTCCAGTGCGGGGTACCATTAAAACGTCTACAGAACAGCCGTCCCGTACCGTCAAATAGGAAAGTCCTAAAAAAAAACTGCCGTAGTGAACTTGTTAAACGGGACACGCTGTATATTATGGAATGATTTACGGAACTTTCTTATTGGTACTTGTCGTCCCAGACACTCTCCATATGGAAATCGATAAATCTATAGTAATACCGAATCAAGTGACTAGAATCTGATAAATGGAGTCAACCAATATGTAATTCTGTATAGAAACGAGATTTCCCACTGGAACGAACGCGAAGAAAACAGTGATCGATATTAACGTACCGCTTGATCGGAACCGACGAAAGAAACCGCCTTGATGTCCGGATGTTCGCAGATAAAATCAACGGCGGCATGTTGACCGTGGATAACATTCAACAGTCCAGGCGGAGCACCGGCCTTGGTAAACAGATCGGCCAGGATCATCGAGGCCCCTGGCACACGCTCTGACGGCTTCAAAATTGTCGCGTTTCCACAGGCGACCGACACAGGAAACGACCAAAGAGGTATCATCGCGGGAAAATTGAACGGACAGATGGAGGCAGTTACACCGAGCGGAACTTTGTAGGAAATTATGTCCATATCGGTTGCGATGTTTGGCGTGCTCTCGCCCATTTGCAGAGAAGGAATTGCGGCACATGCGTCGACCACCTCTGCAACATAAATCAACAACGGTCACGTGATGTATCGTATATTGTACCGTACAGCGGCTCACACTGGAAATTCTCCACCACCTTGAATTTTCCAATTTTGTCGAAAATGTGCACTATACGAAGTGCATGGTATCTTTGTAATAAATGTGATAACATTTCATCTGTGTTGTTGTTTTGAATATAAAAAATAATGTAAAACTTTGTACAATAATTGATGAAAGATTAACACATGTAATTGAATCTATGAAAAGTAGTTCACACTAAAAGTCGTCCATCTACAATATTTGGGGATGCCCTGAACTGGAGTATCTTCTGACAAATTGTTTTTGAGTATTTTTCCTTCAATAAGCAATAAGTTAACTTAGTTTTATTATATTATTTCATTAATTTGCATATTTCAGACGTTTTTTGGAGAAATGGAATCCCAGAAAAACAAGCCACAGTAGAAGAACGAAAATTAGTCATTTTTCATCATTATCAAGGCGAATCACAACGTGAAATAGCATAAATTATATGTAGGGTGTCTACAGTTTTCCGTACAAATTTTGCCAGCGTGTTTTATAGGTAAAAATAAGGCTAGAATGTTGTCCAACAAAACAATATGAAACGTGAAATAAACGCTATGCTCACGTTTGCATTTTAAAGTGTTGCCCCCTTTTATCGATAAAAGCCTGATATTGACAAAAGTACCCCAAGGCTTGCTGCCAACTTCGAAAAGTATTGAAATAAAAATGTTCACGCTGAAAATATTGTGAAAAAATGATTGTCATGCTCGAGTAACACATTTCGAAAGAATCAAAATTGCTCGGAAATACACGAATCAGGATTTTTCTTTTTAGAAAAACATACTTCCCGCAGACGAAAGCAAATTTAATATACAGGGTGTTCTAGTAAAACCCGAAGTCCTAAATATCTCCTTGGTTTTTAATAATACTGGAAAGTATATAAGACATAATCTCAATAGTTTCCAACGAGGAATACACATTCAAACGTGGTGAACGATTTTTATCGTGTGCCACTGTGCGTGGCTTGAAACGCGATTCTAATTGTTTGCTTAATAGGTATGTATTGATCGAGATCACAATAGAGATCGCAAAGTTCAGAGTATATCGAATGTTGAATGTTTTCTTACATGGTTGAGCATTTGAATTTGTTTGATCCATTAAAATTTTTTTGATTTTATACGTCATACTCTTATTTTAGAAAACAGCTAATACATCATTATCGTATAAACAACATACATATAATTGGCAAAAGTATCGTCACACTGATCTAACTTCGAAAACAAGAAGATTTAAGTAAGGATTGTAGATAGATTATTGCTCATAAAATATCACGACTGAAAATGAACTCTTTAAACATTCCTAATGCACGCATTCTAATTTAATTAATAAATTATACCCGAAGTAATATTTGAACATGAATACTAGCATCAATGAGCAATACTTGTTTCTACGAGAGTATTTATTAAAAATATGTCCTGTAATAAAATTTCTTGTAAAATTTTGAATAGCAGAACTTACGAAGTCCTCGAAGAACGTCTCCTTCAGCATCAGCCATTGTTTTTCCATTTTCGTTCACTAAATTCTTTGCAATTTCTTTCTAAAAAAAATTACTACATAAATTTAAAGCCATTTTTAATATTACACGATAAGAATTATGAACAGAATCGTATAATTGTTCATTTTTGTTCGAACTCTAATGTGTGTAGGCATAAGTTGATCCATAAAATAGAAAGTATTTGCAATGAATCTTCTCATATCTCTTATTCACAATTTATGATAAAACCTAATATGAGTAAATGATTGTACTATAAAAGATATTTACAATCTCAAAAGATAAAGATCCTATTTCAATAAGCATACCGAGTGCTCGCGTATAAGTGCTTGGTACTTGAACATCAAAGTTTGCCTAGTGAGTACGCTGGTATTTTTCCATTTTTCGTAAGCTTTCTTCGCGCTTGTCACGGCCATTTCCATTTCTTCTTTCGTGCATTTTGGCGTGCGACATAGCAGCTCGTTCGTTGCTGGATTATGCACGTCGGTAAATTGTGTGGCCTTTGAATCTGAAACAAATTGAAACCTTTCTATGACTCTGTGAATAAAAGTAAACGTCAATTTGTAAACGTTGATCTTTGAATGTTAAGGCGTATCCTGTAGCCGGATTTATGGCAGCGAGTCAAGTGGTCGCCGTCGCAGGCAAATATCGCTTTCTCAAAACACCACAAGTGTTTATTGCGTTGCCTGCGACACTTAGTCCCTAGGACCAGACCCTGCCATGAATCCTGGAGTCTCCGAACGGAAAATAGAATGCACCGGAGTAAACTGATTGGTGATTTAGAAAAGGAAAAATCACCAATCAGGGTGTTTTTGGGAAAATAGGAGTCTTCGTCGAGGGAAACCGCAGAGACTCCGGCAGAAACACTTTGCAACTCACCAGAGAAAACATTTAGCGACTCGCGGAAGAAACACTTTGCAACTCGCGGGAGAAACACTTGGCCACTCGCAAGTGAAACACCTCTCACTTCGCAGTAGAATTTATATCTTGAATTAGTTGTAGAAAATAGAACATAAAATAAAAACTTAGTGTTTCAATCAAGAAACTGGTCCTTCGAAGCCTTAGAACATTAGTCGGCACACACGTGCAAAAACCGGCAAAGCTTGAACGATGGAAAGATCAACCGCAAGCCCCTAACATTGAAACTTTTAAATGTAACAATTTTAGGATATTCCAAAAATAACATGATAGGATTTTACTCGTTTTCTCGCGACCTAAAATTTTTTACTCAAGTAATTAAAGTTTACATTCGGCTAAATGGATTCGAGTGTACGTTTATTTGTTTATCCTTTCGTCTACTTATGTTTCAAAGGGTATAAATTCATAAATTACAAATTATAAATTCACTTAGTGAGTTAATTGTTTCAATTATAAAGGAAATTCATTTGATCTACTTCAGGACGGGTTATAAACACGAATTTCTCTAAATATTTTATACACTGCAAACAAATTTTATTTAACTCTGGCTGTACTTCAAATTATTTAATCGCTATATTAGAAGAGCTACATTCTTCTGAGTTCATGTTGCGTTACTTTCTGAGATTCCACCTTTGATCTTTGTCTTAACCCTAGTGCGTTCTTTCGTTACTCTGCACGCTTGAGGTTTTTGGGTCTTTTTTGACCCAAAGGTCTTAGGTGTAACAATTTTTGTTACCAGCGCGCCATATGAACTTTGGTAATGAACTTTCGATGTAATGTTAAGGGAACATAAATTTGATAACAGCAAAAGTAATTAAAAAGATAAGAGGGCGATGGGTCAAAAAAGACCCGAAGACCGCTCTAGGGTTAAAAATTAGCGCTCACAGTGGGCATATTTTTCAGCTAACACAGTTTTCTTTATACTTACATAATGCCGACAGAAACGTGTCATATTTTTAAAAAATTATGTGCAAAAGTGTCGTACAAGTTGCGATAATAATAATAATAATTTTAAAAATGAAGTGTACTGGTATAAAAAAAACCACTTCTATTGTTATTGCACAGATAACTTCATGCTTATTTTGAAAATTTTCTACATACTTAAATGGAATTAATATAAATGAAAGAGAAATTATTTTCTAAAATTTGTTTCCTAACTCAACAATAATAAAAAGCAATCACAAGGAGCATATTTGTTGGAACTGTCCTTACACATTTTATACATGGAGCATAATACTGTTGTTCGATTTGTAGGCGAAACTTTCTATACCCAGTATAGCCAGTATAATCCATTTCATTCTTAAATATTTCTCATTAAAGCAATTCTTAGGATTTAATTCACCTCGAAATACAACGCATTTTCTGTAGTGTTTCAATAGGTACTTCAGCAGTACTTCTGAACCATGGGCGTCAATTAAAAGGCCTTTAAGCACGCACTTAAGTATTTACAAGGGGTTGTATTCTACGAAAAATATGTTCTGAAGTGCTTTCAAAGGTAAAGGTATCTGCTCCGACAAGATTGTACATACGTTCCATTCTCGGCAATTATGTGTCTTAATTTTTTCACAATTAATTAATAAACAAAATAAGTGAAGCATTCTATCTCGAATAACGGTGCATTAAAATTAGCAATATTATTTTACATTTGATTTATTATTATAGGTTGTCCAATAATTGAAAAATGTTAAAGATTGTTGAATTGTGCACAAACATTTTATAAATTATAAGTTGAATAATCTATTGTAAGGCGCTGTGCGACGCGCCTAGGCAACGACCGCAGGACCCGAGCCGCAGGGGGCCCTAGGCAAGGAGCAGCGCAGGCTGCACCCCCACCCCGCGGCTTGCAGGGCCCTAACGGCCGAAGAAGCGTATAAAAACGGGAAAAAGGACAGCGGCCCACACATTATCGTACCTGGCCATCGGCGAGCGAACCGACGTCATTTTAATATCTGTCGTTTTAAGCCCCTTGTAATTCTTTACTCTTACACTATGCAGACATTTTATACATTATAAATTAAGGCGGTGCACCTGTTAGACGGTTTCAAAAAACCCATTTATTATTTAATTTTCTTAAAGTTTCAAGTGCGTAGAGCGTCTTGCCAAAGCGATATTTAAAAATTCGAATTTTTGGCGAAGTTATGGCAATAGATACGGGAACGGATTGGGTCATGCGGGAAACCACGCGGATCAGATGAAGCGGAGATATTGCATTAGAGCAATATTTCGTTGCTTACGAAAATGTAATTTAAGGTTTTCTTATCACGTGTGATATGATAAAAAAAGAAACAAGGAAAAACTAACAGATAAGTCGATAAATTAATTGACGATACATTACCGCCGTTTTGCGGAAAGAAAACTGTTGACATTGCAACATTTACCGCTGCTAGCATCTTTGACGGGGGAAAAGATAAATATTTAAGAGTGATGCAAGTGATGCATTTAATTTTAGGAATAAACAGTCACAACTTTTGCAAAATAATGGACGAACGACGAATAAGAAACTCTGAAGAAAAATTACTCAGAAAAGCAAAGAAGGAGACTGCTGACAGTTTCTCTGATGCAGAAGTATTGCTATATGGACTTGGAATAGCACATTAAAGGTAAAATATAATAAACCTCTCTTTATCAGAAAAGAATTTTATCTTAAAACTTCTTTTACGTTTTTCTCGAAACTGTTTTTTAAATTGACCAACGCAAAATCTCCGGAACTACATATCCGATTTCGTTCAAATTTTTAGGGAATATTCTCTACAAAGTATTCTACAATGTGGCATAGGATTTTTTCGATATCTCAATTACTTAATTTTTTAGAACCGTTTAAAGTTGATATTTTTTTTTAGTAAACAGAGATTTTTCCTCTTCAAAGTGTCGCCGTTTTTATAATTATTAAAATTTTTTTTTAATCCTATGCTACATTGTGGGTAATACGTTCTTATTTATAAATTTAAAAGAATTTTTTAATCTCACAAATCCTTAATCTTTTTAACATTGTACCCCGATACTTTTTCACGCAGACTGTTGTGATGAATCGATCTACAGTAAAAAGAAAAGTGATTCCATTTAGAAAAAAAGTGCATTTGCATTTCTTAGACGCATCGTTGCATTTATAAAAAAAAAAGTAGGCTCTCCTCGAGATATAACCCGTCCCAATTGCGAGAATCACCGTGTATAATCACCGAATCTGTTCAGAATAATCATAGACGGATAAAAAGATCGAAAGGATCAGATTTCAATAAATAAAAGCAAAAATTCGAGAAAGTTCATCGGTATCTGACGAATACGAATGGTTTAAAAAATTACCGAGGATAAACATGTGTAAAACGTGCGCTACGTTTATAACGGTGTTGAAATACTGTAATTATTTGAATTTCAGTAAGATTTAATCAGATACGAGCATAGAATATATTAAATTCCTAAAATTTCCTAATCAAATAATATATCCACTGAGAAATTATTATTTTCATTGCATTTTTGTTTCAACATCCAATTGATTTCAAGTGGCAAATGACGTTGAAGTTTAGCATTCAAGAAACTTGTATGCAACTTTTTAATGTAATAAAATAATTACCTACGAACTGGCCATCAATGTACATCTTAACTGTCGGTACGCTACTGCTGTAAGTCCTTGCAGCAAATTGCGCCTAAAATATCATGAAATTCATGTTAAACAATTCCTGATTTCATATTAGAAATAATTCATGAAATTCGCGTTAATTTTATTCGTGTAAAAATGCTATTTCCACGTATTTCATGTATATGCGATTATGTAAATTACAGGAAAAAATTAAATGCATAAATGAACTCTTTAAACGATTCATGTATATTGTACTTTGTAGCAAATTTAAATCTGCGCCCTCTATTCGTCGCATCTATTTAGAAATACGATTATGCGAAATTTTAATGCCACAGTATATTAACCCTTTGCACACGAGTGGAGACTGAAAAACGACATAATTGTTTCCCACTCGGTAGAAAATTGATTTTACAGGACAACAGGTCTATAGGCCTCTCGTAAATGTCTAATCAGCGAAATGGTTTGAAAGAACTAATCTTCAGTGAACTGTTACAACGACTTGTATAATATAAAAATCCATTAAATATAGAAATAAATTTGATTTGCAATTTATAGCTAAAAGATCCTCGAGTGCAAAGGGTTAAAATAAACGATTGATAAATATTTAACTAAGAAACTACTATACAACCATATAACGTTCAATATTGCCCAACGAGCAAAAAGAAATAATAAAAAGTTGTTTTCTCTACAATTTAAAAAATTTCCACAAATGTTTACTGCAAGCTTATAAGATCGGAATTTTCAGTCTTGGGACTATATATTTCTTTTGTCAAAAAATGATCTTTACTGCTATTTAATTACTTCCATGCAGTCGTCAAATATATTGTTCCCCTGTTACATGCAGAATAAATTCTATAACTGAATTATCAATTTAACTTTTGTATAAAGTTATTTGGATTGGATATTGCAGTAATAAAAGGTAAAATATGAGAATAAGTGATATTTCTCGGTAGTGGCGGCTCGTCCATAAGGGCTGCAAGGCTGCAGCCCCTCCAGTATAAAATGAAAGTTACTGTTTTATTATCGCCGCTATTAAGTTTATATATATTCATTTAAAAACTGTTATTTTCCTGTTTGTAATGCCGTCCGCTTTCTAAGTAATTGTCTTTAGCTTTATTAATAATATAATTTTTTCAATCCATATTGATCTTTTTTACTTTTATTGCTACAGCCCCACCGTTACAAATTCTTACGAGCCGCCACTGTTTTCCGGTGAAAAAGTGCCGTCTGAAAACAAGCATTAATCGAAATTAAATCATTAAGCAACCAAATAAATACTACGAAAAACACTGAAGATTATAGTGAAAGTTACTTTAATTACAAAAACAGATTAAAAGTATAAATGCTGGATCAAGAGAATATTGTAACGCTACTTCTTTTTCTTAAATAAAAATGCGCTACAGCTTACCAAGAGATAGTTACAAATTTATAACCTATAACGTAATTCCATTTCTCTGATAACAAGCAAACGTATCGGTTATACGAAATACGAGTATTTACTGATTGCTCGAAGAAGATTAAACAGCGCTAGAATACATTTATAAATTTGTTTGGTACATGATAAGGCTATCCATAGAGAATGTTGCACGATAAGTTTTTCACGCGATACTCTTTGTTCCCTCGCATACGAGTTTTGTGTTACGTAAACTACGCGAGCTCTATTGCACTAGATTGGTAATGACATTCTCCTTTATAAGCGTTATTGGCTCTGGTCATTTCGATTCCGATTCAATTGGAACAGAGGCACATACTCTCCCTTGAAAAACAACACACCGTGAATCATCGACGAGTTCAAAAGAGGAATAACTCCAACTTCCGGTTTACTTTCACATTAATGACCGATTTAAACAGTACTTGATTCACATGTTAAGTAGAATCGCGTGATCTTGTTACGAACCATAGTTCAAAGTCTTAATAAACGATACGGATATTTGAAATTCGATATGAATAAATCGTCAAACTTTTAGTCTTTATATTAAAACTTAGGGCAAAATTAAAATTAAACACAAAGAGTGGAATTTCCTTTTGCTTGAAGAAAGTTTCATAATATACTTTAGTCAGAAATGCATCACTACAAAATCCAAGTTGGCAGAGTACACAAACCATTGCACTGTTATTAATTTGAAAGGAGAAAAAGATTTTACAATGAAAAATAGTTGAAATGAACATAATGTCTGTACAATGATATACAAACGTTTGTGTATTTAGTATTTAGAAATTTTGTATTACTAAATAGAAGATAGAAATTACTTTTAACTTTGTATTTTATGCAAAGCAAATTTATAATACTATATTACTACGTAATACAGTTACAGAAATTTTCTCGAATAAAGAACAAAAGTTCAGTAAATCTTTAATTTAAATACAGTGTTTTATCGTTGAGTATTACAGGAACTTAAAGAAATAAACTTTTCAATGAAAAAAAAAAAAAATAAAAATATTTTTATTTATAAGAATAAATATATTTTTGTTAAATTTAAGCATCGAACAAGTAGTGAGAGCAATTTTTGTATCTATTAATATAAATGATCTACAATACTACCTTTCAATTACAATTACAAGTTCATTAATTACTTGTATACTAACATAATTCTGTTACCTTCCTTGACATATTCTTTAATCATATCAAAAGACAAATTGCACGTATGTACATACTATTAAAAATAATACACAATCATCTTATATTTAATTAAACTTTATTTATATTAATTCCAATTTATATATACGTATAATATGTGTAAACGAACATTGGTATTGTTTAATGATAAGGTTATTTATATTGATAATGTCTATAACAGCGGATATTAATAGTATGGCAGAAATGTAACAAGCTGTTAGATACATGTATGTAACATGAAATGATATAAAATACATCTTCCTAAAATGTAATGGAAATACAATTGAAATAGAGATAAATATATTACGATAAATTATAACATTTTTACTGTAAATGACATACATATATTATTGAAAATTTATAGCTGTAACATTTCAATGAAATATATTGCTACCATAAATAGTTCAAACAGTTCTATGACAAAAGTAAATTACATACTCAAAACATTTTAGTGTTTTTTAATTGTATTAATTAAATTTTGTTGAATGTATTTATTTCTGTTGATATGATTTGTGATGAACATTAAATGTAACATAAATAAACATTAAGAATAGTACAAAAATAATATAAATTTCTTATACAACATTAATAATAGTGAAAAAGTCATCTAAATATACATTAACAGCAGTCTAATTAATTAAAGTACTTATAATATTTACACAATTATAATGAGAAAAATATAAAAGGAAATGTCAAACAAATTAAACAGAGAAGCCAATGCTTAATAAAATTTACTTAAGCAAAGCTAGATTGTATTTTAAAAAATGTTTATTCATATTTTAAATATACAACATTAATAGGCAATTGATGAATGATGAAGCAAAAATTGATTTTCATTAAAATAAAACGTACTGAAGATTAGACAGATGAATTTATATCAAAATTTATTAAAAAAAAGCATTGAACTCCAAAAATTTTGTATTGTTCCATATTTAAAAAGCTTAACAAGATAACATTTGCATCGCTTAACATTTACATGCGTTAACTCACTTCTTATTGCCGTATTTCAGAAATGAAGTTATAGAATATCCAAACAAACATATTAAAATTTTTTGACGTACCTCCCATTTAACAAATCTCACGAGAAGCGCCATAATTTCAGAACACGTTTGTTGCCGTTTGTAACAGAACTGATTGATTCTCTAAAAAAATGGCCAACTGTCGCAATGCAAGGCGAACGTTTTCATTGAAGTTAATTACATCTGTTTACAAAATTTAGAAGGATCGATGTTTTCAGAAATATTCTCTGTTCACTCGACAGTGTCCGAAGAAGTCACGAGAATAGCCGAATAAAGCGTAGCACTATTATCGATTCGATGTTTGTTACATTATACAGCAGATATATCAGAAAATAGTGAATTTTAGTGGTTTATTAAACTAGTAAATTTTTAATTATTTACAACTAATAACACTGTCATTACTACTTTTGGAAGCAAGTGTTGACTCACGGATTTAGGTCCATTCCAATGGCAATTCATCGCCGCTTTCCCACATGGGTTGATGGTTCAGAACACCAGCAGTCATTACCACTGACAGAGGCGCGCAATTTAAATCGCTGATATTCGAGACAATGGTTAAACTTATAGGAAGTCAAAGGATTAGGACAACTGCTTATCATCTACAATCCGAAGGCATTATTGAACGATAGCATCGTTCATTTAGGCCGGCAATTATGTGTTATAACACTAAAAATTGAGTAGATGTTCTTCCTATAGTTTCTACGCACTTGGATAGAAAAATACTGGTGGTCAGCATTTTGTACACAACACTTTGAGTTTAAGTACCTTCGAAACTTAAAATTAACGATATGTTATTCATGTTATTCGATTTATAGAAAATATCTTCCGCCTGAATGTTTTTATCGGCGTATCATTCCATTAGATTAAAAAAATTTTATTTTTGTTGAATACGTTTATACATAAAAAAGTTGAAAATAACCTTGAAAACTTACATGAATAAAAAAGACAGAAAAAATCTAATATTATCACCGTGAAGGTCTTTTAAAACCGTATTATCTATAACAACAAATTTTGATCGGTCCACTGACAACGAAAATAACAAAGGTGATCACATTATACAGCTCACCTTGTATATTGTGATGTTAGTGGTCAAATACGAATTTATGTCCCAAAAACATGAATATTGCACTTGATCTTTCATTATTTGCCTAGTAAATATGGCAGAAAATGGTTATAGTTTCCGAGAATTTAATTTTAGATAAAACATAAAAAAAAAATTTTTATTATAAACAATGTAAAGTAGTAGCTTTTAGAAATCTTCCAGAATTTTATTGATTGTTTTGCATCACAAGCGAGATCGGCTAATGACCAACGGCAGTCGATACCGGTAAATTAAAGACAACAAGACAACCAAGACAATACATCCAAATGTATTTTTTTGTCACATTACCCCGAGGTTTCAAAATTAATAACACTTGGTATATGTCATATTTCGAACTTTAGGATGAATCAGAATGGATTCAGTCATACAGATTTGCATTTTGGGATCCAATTGACAACACAATAATAATGTACACAGGACCAATATCGATCGATTTGAATCATCATGAATGATGCGATGCAGTTCTTAAAATGACCGTTCTTAAGCGTAGAGTGCGTTTCAAAACCAGTAGTTTTTGACGACGTCGGTATTCCAGATCGTGTGACAAAAAGTCCCATAAAAAAGTACCCTATAGCACAGACGAGGTACAGGATAAACCTTACACATAATATATTTTTGTGTCCAACGTTCTGAAATACCGATCGTGTAAACAATCAGAGTTTTTTTTATGCCTTCTGTGAGTTAGAATTACATACAATCCAACTATCAAAGATGGTAAAATCGACAGATGTCAAACATCCTCTTTTATTAAATTTGCATATAAAGATACACATATATATATATTAGATTGCGTGTATAGAATTGTTCACGATCTTCTGACAGCAGTAGAACACACGCATATGACGAATCATCTACTAATAAATAATTGCTTTACTTTTTTATTTGTAATTTCATAGTTACCTCTAATTTCAATTCTACCCACTACTAATGTTGTAATCTTATTCTAAACTGAATCGGTAACGTTGGTAACGACACGAAAATGGTAACAGTCTTCTCGGTTCCAAAACCCCAAATAAAAAGTCCCATAAGATGCAAGGTCTATCCTGTACGTCATCTGTGCCTATATCTCGTCTGTGGTGCCGTAAACACAAAATCACATAAGGTGTTAGGTCTATCCTGCACATCGTCTGTGCTCCGGAGTCGTGTGACAAAAAAATACATTGGATGAGTGGTCTACCCTATATTTCGTCTGTGCCTATACTTCATTTGCATTGATAGGTCTATTCTATACCTCGCCTATGACGATAATCATCATGTCCATAAGAAAGTATCAACAGTTGAAAATATCGTACAGTGTATCACTCGAAAACTGAAGATGTCGCCACTTGGTATTAATTTTAACCGGTAGAATTTAAATGTAAATTACACATCTGCATTTTCAACTTGTAAAAACTAATCTTTAATAAAAATATTAATTTATTAGTAGTTTACATACTTTAACAATGTTATGAAGTTTGACGAATTTAAATATTGCAATATATAGAAAAAAAAATGTTTGCAGCTCAGTTTAGAAAAAAGTTAAAACTTGCAACGTTCATAAACTACATATGTAAAATATTAAAATACAACAAAATACATTCTTATAACAGTTACAACTAGGAAAAGACTTTCTACACAACCGCTATCTTAATAACTTACAAACTTAAGGACTCTTGAACTAGAAATCATCCTGATACACAGGGTGCTTTTTTCAGGCACTTCAGGCGCTTCTGATAGTGAGACAAAAAAATGCTTGAATTAAAAAAACCATCGGTACTGGATCGTCAACAAATTACAAAAATAAAAATTGCAAAAATCCTACTTTTTCCCCAAATAATCGAAGTCACCTTCATTTTTTTAAATGACACTGTATAACTTTTTCTACGTAATATTGCAGGCGACATTGAGACGAATTCAACGATATCGGTACATTCGTTCAACAACTTGTTGAGAAAAGCATTTGTAGCGTAACAGGAGTCCTTATGAACGCGTAAGGCTGTGGTATAGTGGATGCGTATTTCGACGAATTGACGTTCTGACGGATGAAACATCTGAAGACTGCAATGTACACTCATAAGAATCTGTATACATATTTGATTGCTTTGAAGTATTGAGTTCGTTAAAATGCCAGTTCGTCCTACGCGTTCATAAGCACTCCTGTATTCCTCTCATGCAGGCATCTGCCTTACCAACTTCATCGTCGGTAACACCATAAACTTCCCAAGACAGCCGATAAAGAGGCCACAACATCTGGGCGCGGATATAAAGGATTCACCCCACAAAAAAAAAAAAAAAACGCGTTCATAAGCACTCCTGTTACATTAAAAATGTTTTTCTCAACAAGTTGTTGAACGAATGTACCGATATTGTACATCATTGAACTCGTCTCAATGTCGCCTACAATACTACGCAGAAAAAGTTATGCAGTGTCACTTAAAAAAATGAATTTGACTTTGAATTTGTTGCCGATCCAGTACCGATGATTTTTTTCTCAGACTATCAGAGGCTGAACACCCTGTATATTCGAAGCTATAAATCGTAAGGACTATTTTAACCAGCGCCGCACTAAGTGTAACTCAAAAGAACAAGTATATTTCAGTTAATCAAATTCATACAGATTCATTTTTAAGTTTACTGAAAATAATAGTCGACACTTCCATAATAACTCATTTTAATAACATAAAAATAACACAACATTGGTATACATATATTTGCATTAAAAGCGGTCTCTTGTTTTTGTATTGCGAATTTAACATATGAAAATAAGTATTTTATTTTGCAACTATAATTAGGTTGTTTTTTTATATTATTGTTTGAGAGGAGTAAAATTTTCAAATGTGGCCCCAGCTTGCGCCTAATGCGCCTTATGATAAATACTGCCGTAGTTTTGATAAACATTTCACAAGAAATGATAGTCAGCAGTTAAAACACTTCGTTGCAAATCGAAACGTGATATAACAGAAATAGTAACATTTCGAAATGTTTATAATAAAAACTCTCGTTAATACTGATTTCAGTTGTTTGCTACTGTCGTATCCGTATTAGAGAAAACTACCCAATCTGAGTATGTACAGTAGTGCACACATAAGCGTCCGCAGACTGGTCCGAATGCGGACGCTTAAGTGGGGAGGTGACTTTTACGAATTTAACTAAACAAAAGAGAGAAGATGTGTCTGAGTGGGATACCGAATTACTTTGTTTCACTCGGCACGCTTCAACTCCTCTCCTAAGTCCCATTTCCAAGAATTGCTGGGGATAGCGACGGACGCTTAAGTGTGCAAAAATTCGGACGCTTATCTGTGCACTACTGTAATCTCTGAGTAAGAATATCAACGTGCGAATTCAACGTGCTAGACAGTTTTATTAATTTACAATAGGTTTCCGCAAGACCAGACAATGCCTGTTTTAGAAAGAAAGGTACGAGGAAAGCAAGAATGTTGGTAATCGTTCGAATGTCCGTGGGATGCGTAGCAACTAACGGAACGATTATACGGAAGTCGATTGGCAAACAATCGCTAGAAGCAATCGACAGGTTCTCTGGTTCTGTATTAAAGTCTCGTGCATCGGTTCGTTTTATATGTGCAGCCTTTAACCGTCTCCGAAAGCCGTTTACCGATACACCGACGTGATTATCTATGGCGAAGAAAGTGAAACGCGATGGAAATTCAGCCTAAAAAGGTGAACAAAACGCGAGCCACATTACTCATTAGTGGTAGTTGTAAATATGGCGTTAGAAAACAATATCGAGAACACTGATAACGAATTTGAATATTTTATTCGGAAAAATTTGATCAAATTAGACACTTATCGTGTATATGCAGTAGTATGGATTATTTTGATTCTGCGTTGATTTTTATTTCATAGGAACAGTTTTTGGGAGTAATAATAGTGGATAGTACCTTGTTTTTCTTCTGTTTAAAGTATTCCTAAGATATTTAGAACAGGATGTGAAATTTTATTAAATAGGTAAAAAAGGAATTAGAATTCTGACGGTTACCTATAATTAGTACTCTAAATTACTCTAATATTTAATTTGAATAATGTAAAT